GAGACAGATACCTCAGAATGAATGTCAATGAACTACGGCTTATCAGTAATCCAAAGGAAAGCCTGTGAGAGGCGGGGTGGCGCCGCTCAGCAGTCCTGATTGGCAGGGGCAGTTGGCAGCAACCATGTCAGACTGCAAGAGCATCTCACTTATCTTTTTCGATAAGGCGAGGGTCATCATCTATTCTCACATTTCCAGCGAGTTATCTCTCTACAGGATAAACAAGACTCATCGCAGGTTTTACGGAATGAATTTCTGACGGGGATCTTAGGTGCCTTTGGGACGACACACGCGTGAGAGCAAGGAAAATCTATATAATATTAAAAAGCTGCATTTAATCACTACGGTCCATTCATGACAGAAGCAAAGAGGAAGAAGGAAATGACAAATTGAGCTAAAAAAAACATCAACTCTATTTTTGTTAGCTAAGAACCGAGTCTCTGGCTGCAAAAGGCTTTTGAAAATTTAATCAGCATAAATATGTCCATTGCTGGGATTCTTCAAGGTCACTTCGTCACATGCCAGGAATCTTGCGCTGGACACTAGTATATATATATATATATATATATATATATATATATATATATATATATATATATATATATATATATATATATATATATATATATATATATATATATATATATATATATATATATATATATATATATATATGTATGTATGTGTGTGTGTGTGTGTGTGTGTGTGTGTGTGTGTGTGTGTGTAGAATACACAAAAAAACAGTGTGTGTGTCTGTTTTTTTGTGTAATCTAAATTCCTATATGATGCATAAAAAATACTGTCATTCTGTGAAAGAGTGACTGTGCCATCACTCTAAAATATGCAGCTGTCCCTCCGCTCGATGTCATGCCCAGAAATACCATTGATGAATAGCATGACACACACAGGACTGATGGAGACCGTGCGTGTGTCTGTCCCCGAGTGAGCCACTTCAGGCTTCACAAATAAGTCGCCCTGTCCACTCCGCCATAGGCTTCCTGGGAACTCCAATTGAGAATCGCTGGTAGGGTCGAGGACAGGATTGCAGTTTGCCATTTTTCATTTACTTGCTTGTATGAAAGAAATGGTTGGCAATGAAAGCACTTTAATAAATACGTAATGCAATTTGCTTCTGTTCTATTAGTAAATACAAATAACAAGCAGTCAACTCTAAATCAAAATCATTATCAACAAATATGCGGTTGCTAGCGTCCATGTTTAGAACCACTGATCTACACAATCGGTTACTTTGATATCCCTTATATCTATAAAAAAAAATGGAAAGAAAACTTTTCTTTGGAAATATAATATATGAATTTCTAATCAATTAATAATGGGGCCCTAATATGAAATTCCCTTATTCAAAAGGAGTGTTTGTGACATAAAGAAGGTGCTGTTGGAAAGTCTGAGTTTCTAGGCTCTTCGTGCTGGAGCTACAGGTCACGATTAAGCGTTTTCTTTGTAAATCTAATGCCACTGTTGCGTCAGGCTATCCGCGCACGCGATCGAAGGCAGTGAATACATTTAGGTTTTGTTGCCAGTGTTTGGTATTTATTGGGGTCTGTGAAGTGCAACATATGTGATCCATCTCCTTCTAATCCTCCTGCCTTAGAGTGCAAACATTATGCGTTATGAAAGTTTCTCTTGTTTCTCATTTATTTTTTTAGGCAGAATTATACTGAGAATATGCAACGCACATAATTCATATGTCTACACACCTAAAATACGTATGATTATGCGAAGCTTAAGATTCATGCTTTGCACGGAAAACTTTGCGCGTTTGTGTGTGTGTGTGTGTGTGTGTGTGTGTGTGTGTGTGTGTGTGTGTGTGTGTGTGCGTGCGTGTAAAGTGCATTTACATGTAGTATGTATATAGTATCTATATGTATATCAATCTGCTTTTCACTCTATTTTTCTACATAAGCACACATAATAGTAGTATAAGCAAAAAGGGCCATCGGTTGCCTTTTATGGCATGAATAATTTCGTTATATGGTAAAAACAACAACCTTGGCTTGGAACGGCTATCCACTACAGGCGTGCGATCAAAACAACAGCACTAAACAATTGAGCTAAACGAGATTGTATCTTATAGCTGTTTTTAGACGGAAAGCCTTTGTCGGTATCACTGAATAGTATAGGTGAATGTCGCACTGATATGTCTGCAGTTTAGGACTGAAGCAGATTGAATTTTTTATGTCATCAATATAACATTTTGCAGCACTGAGATGGCAGCAAATTTACGGCTGGTCTTGAGGTACATAATGGAAAAAAATATGATTTTTTTGCGGTATTGTGAACATTTCTTGCTGGAAAACGGGTAAGTAATGATATAAATGATTTTGAATAATTCTGTCGTTTGATCGTTGAATAACATATAAACCTTCATAAGCAAACTCACGGCGATCGGATGGCAAAGTTAGGTTGAAATACCTAGTACTTGGAATAAGTCACGTACTGTACAGTCTACTCCCAAAGGTTTGATAACTGTAACTTCTAGCACTGCAATAAAGCAATAACGTGACGTATTTAATTCAGCAAGTAATACAGGTCTACAGGAGATATCAAATCTAAATCACGTGTGTTTCCCAACTGTGGCCTACGATTAGATAACAAAATCAGAGTCTTACAGTGCAGTGTTCAGCAGATCTGCTGACAAAACTGAAGTAGATAATATGTTATCTTCATTGTCGGAAATGTACAAAGTGCTAATCAACCATCATAAAAAACAATTGGTTTGTTTATATATATTTTTTCTACGTAACACAAGTAGTCATCTCGCGAGCAAAACATCCCTGAGAGGTTAAAAAAAAGCGAGGACACAACTGTCTAGGCCATTTGTAAATGTTGTAATATGAATTACAAAACCAGTGAGGTTTATTGTCTTATATGTACAGCAGTGGTCAGAGTGGAAAGCCATGTATTAAATCCAAACTCATTTCTATTCCTGAGATAAAACCGTATATAGTCAACATTCCCCTCGATATTTGTCCACCTTGCATCTCCATGGTACGAGAGATAATAGAGCGTCTCGTCATAATACTTGATTTTATACTATATGCGTTCGAGTTTGAAGTTTTAAATTCGTCTTTACTATACTGTATTTTGACGTTACTATGCCAAGGGAGAAGAAAATATAAGGACAATATTCACTAGATATATTCATGAAAACGTCCTTTGTACATGTACCCTAAGAACGACGACATACACCAGTTCATGATGCTTGTGCCGTTTTATATCCCCGTGACTTTTTAGTTATTTGGATGAATGAATATTCCTTTTGGTCATCCAGCAGTAGGCGCATACTGTTTACCTTGAAGCTAAGGATAAACAGTATGTTATAACATAATGTTTATCAATAACCTTGATGGTTACGGAAAAAATACGCCGGTAAGATAAAAGATTTACGTAATATGAAAAACGGAAAAAACGTGTTTTTGTGAGCATTGCGAAAGATGCATATGTATTGTATAATTGTATATATTGTACAATATACATATGCATTCACAAATATATGTATATATATATATATATATATATATATATATATATATATATATATATATATATATATATATATGTGTGTGTGTGTGTGTGTGTGTGTGTGTGTGTGTGTATCTATTTACATATATGTGTGTGTGTGTGTGTATTTATTTACGTATATATGTGTGTATATGTACATGTATGTATTTATATATATATGCATATATATACACACACACAAACATATATATATATATATATATATATATATATATATATATATATGTATATATATATATATATATATATATATATATATATATATATATATATATATATATATATATATATATATATATATATATATGTGTGTGTGTGTGTGTGTGTGTGTGTGTGTGTGTGTGTGTGTGTGTGTGTGTGTGTGTGTGTGATTGTATGTATGTATATGTATATTGTACAATATATATGATTATACAGTACATGCGAATCTTTCGCCATGCACATGCGCACACTCTCACACACACATGTGGGCACTGTACAGTGTTTATATATATTCATTACCTGATCGTCTGAGGTCAGAGTGAGAAGTCAATAACCTCGTCTGGTGATTATGCAGAGGTCACCCCATGCTCTCGGTTTATGATCTATGCAAAACGTCCTCTAAATAATAACTCTTTAATGATTTCCCAAGGAATCGAATTAACTCAAAGGAAATCTCCGTCAAAAACAATTGTGACTCCCCGTAATCAACAAAATTATATCGAATTCACGACAAACCGTAAGAAACGTGTCATATGATTGCGAGAAGTGGCAACATTTGCAGGACTGGCGAGCAGCGAGATAAGTCTATACCAATTAGGCTTGATGCTCGTAACGTCGCATTCCGGACGTCTTTTGACCAGATATTGGACTTTAGTGAACGCACGGGGGTGTAGTGACCAGCAGCGGAGAAACCTGCTGCCGGCGCCTGAAAGCAAGGCAGGAGGCTCTGTTCTCCCGTGGCCATGAAGATCAATAAACAATACTTGCCTGTCTTCTGAGGGCGACCGAGGCATTCCTGAGCTGCCCGGAAATGTATTTCAAAAGCGGCTCGAGAGTAAGGACTAAAAAGGCGGGGAAGTAAGGTCAGGCAGGAGATATCCTAACGACCTTCGCCGGGCATCGAGAGCTGTAAATGGAGGCTGTGCACCGGGTGTTGCATAATGCTTACGCGGCACTTACTAACAGGCGTAATTTGTGTGACGCTCTTTGCATTTGGCAGAACTCAAGATTACTGTATAAAATCATATATAATTATGATGTTGAAATATTATTTGTTTGTTTCGAATAACATGTGGACAGGAGGAAACAAAATGACCAATCACTTGCGAAAATCGAGCGAAACACAGTGGGAAAATCTCTCTCCAGCCAGCTTTTGAGGAAATGTATCAACCTCTTCAAATAAAAGAATATGTGGAGCAGAAAGGGAGAGGGAGTAAGTAAAAAAGGAGGAAGATAACTTATGAATCGAACAGATA